CTCTTGAACTCCTGGGCTCAATCAAGCAATCCTCCCATCTCAGCATCCCAAAGTGTTGAGATTACAAGCATGAGCCACCACACTCAACCAAGTTCCATCTTTTAGAACAGTGGTTTTTAAAGTAGGATTCTTTTTCACAATATTGGAGTGGCACTGTTGGCATGAGACAGTTCTGTCAAATTCTGAATATCCCAACAGATGTTTGTGTAAGAAAAACAAACTAAGCACCCTATGTATAATTATCTGCATCTAGAGTTCAACTCCATTTTATATATAAACACGAAATGTGTTTTGTGTAATTTTAATATACAGTAAATTTCCACAAATGCAACTACAATGTGAAAAGAGGGAAGATTATACTTTGTTTTGCTTGCTTTACTAAGAGCTGTTTGCCATTTCAGAGAATCTCATTGCTGATTTGGGATATTTTACTTGCCAATACGAGGCACTTCCATGGTGATCCTATTACATTTAAGGGCAATCATCTGTCTACTTCATCATGTCTTCTCTTGTGGGGTCCCTGTATTATGTCATTATTAATCACTTTCCTTTTAGTCCTTTATTTCTTAGAGCATTGTATTGACTATTTTAACAATTATATTGTAGGTAAATGATATTAGCTAAGAATTGCATTTCAGGATTGTTAAAGAGGTGTTAAGGATATTTGTTATATGGCAAATACATGAAAAGATGCTCCACATCATATATCATCAGGGAAATGCAAATGAAAACAGCAATGAGACATTACAACACACGTATTAGAATAGCCAAAATCTTGAACACCACAACACCAAATGCTGGTGAGGATGTGGAGCAACTGGAATTCTTCCACAGTGTTGGTGGAAATGCAAAATGATACAGACAATTTGGAAGACAGTTTGGAGGCTTCTTATTAATGTAAATCTAATCATACTCTTGTCATATGATCCAGCAATCATAGCTCTTGTATTTACCCAGATGAGTTGAAAACTTATGTCCACACAAAAACCTGCACGTGAATGCTTATAGAAGCTTTATTCATAATTGCCCAAACGTGGACATGACCAAGATGTCCTTCAGTAAGTGAATGTGTGAAAAAACTATGGTACATCCAGACAATGGAAAATTTTTAGTGCTCAAAAGATATGAGCTCTCAAGCCATGAAAAGGCAGAAAGGAAACCTACAATGTATATTATTAAGTGAAAGAGGCCAATCTGCAAAGGCTCCATACTGTATGATTCCAACTATATGACAGTCTGGAAAAGGTAAAACTATGGAGACAGTGAAAAGAACAGTGTTTGCCAGGGGTTGGTGGGGAGGGAGGAATGAAGAGATGGATCTCAGAGGGTTTTTAGGTCAGTGAAACTACTCAGTATGATACTATAATGGTGGATACATGTCAGTAGACATTGGTCATACCCATCGTATGTACAAGAGTGAACCATAAGTAAATCACAGATTTCGGGTGATAATGATGTGTCAATGTAGCATCATCAATTGCAACAATGTACCACTCTGGTGGGAGATGTTGATAAATAGGGGAAGATATGTGTAGGGGAAGCTATGTGTATGGGAAATCTCTGTCCCTACCTTCTACTCAATTTTGCTGTGAACTTAAAACTGCTCTTAAAAATAAAGACTATTTTTAAAAAATTAAGCATAGTAGGTAGTACGGAAAATTTTGTTTATAAAAAGTGATCATGGGCCAGGCTCCGTGGCTCACGCCTGTAATCACAGCACTTTAGGAGGCCAAGGTCGGTGGATCACAAGGTCAGGAGTTCGAGATCAGCCTGGCCAACATAGTGAAACCTGGTCCCTACTAAAAGTACAAAAAATTAGCCGGGCATGGTGGCGGGTGCCTGTAATCCCACCTACTTGGGAGGCTGAGGCAGGAGAATCGCTTGAACCTGAGAGGCAGAGGTTGTAGTGAGCCAAGATAGTGCCATTGCACTCTAGGTGCAGTGTGACAGGTGACAGTGTGAGACTCCTCCTCAAAAAAAAAAAAAAAAGAAAAGAAAGAAAAGATGATTGGTGCATGCCTGTTGCTATAGGGGAAGCAGGAGGATCCCTTGAGTTCAGGAGTTCAAGCAGTGCGGTCTGATGGTACCAGTATTGAATAGTCACTGCAGTCTAGCCTGGGCAACATAGCAAGACCCTGTCTCCAAAAAAAGAGAAAAATGGTGAGCATTGGGTCTGATAGGGTTATAAGCCTTTTCTTTAGAAGGAAATAAAGACTTGCTTTTTAGGCTGGATCCAGAGGAATCCTAAACGTCAACTCTATAGTTAATATAAGAACTTAAGATAGGCCAAGTGAGGTGACTCACGCCTGTAATCCCAACATTTTGGGAGGCTGAAGTGAGTGGATATCTTGAGACCAGCCTGGCCAACATGGCAAAACCCTGTCTCTACTAAAAATACAAAAATGAGCTGGACGTCACGGCATGTGCCTGTAATTCCAGTTACGGGGGAGGCTGAGGCAGGAGAATCTCTTAAACCCAGGAGGTGGAGGTTGCAGTGAGCTGAGATTGCACCACTGCACTCCGGCCTTGGGGACATAGCCAGACTCAGTCTCAAAAGAAAAGAAAAGAAAAGAAAACCTAGAAAGGAACCATGGGCTATCACATGAAGCTTAAATGAGGTGGTTTGATGATGTTGGGGGTATAGAAAAATCATGCCTCAAAATATGGCACCTGAGCACCCTGAGGGCTTTTGAAAGCTGAGCGGCCTCAGAAATAAGCGTCAGAATGAAGGTCCCTCTAACCTCGTCTTGTGCCTCCCCAAACCCCAAGGGCAGGGACTATTTCTCGAATGTCCTTATCTGACCAAGGAAGCTTACCAAAGGAAAGCTAAATGCTTTCTATGCCCTCCCTGGAATCTCATTATCTCAGAAAAAGAGCCTGACGAATGTGACCACACCTGACAGACTTTTTCCCAAGATAAGGTCTGACTCTCAGGCCCATTCAGATTCCAAAGAGAATCACTTACAAGTTCATTTCGGTCTCTGTGGTCCATTCATTCTCCCTAATCATCACTTACTGCCTCTCAAAAGAGAAACTTAAAACTGGGCAACAGAGTGAGACTCTGTCTCAAAAAAAAAGAACTTCAGTGTATAAAGTGTGCAGGAGTTTCCCAAAAAGTATCTTCTCTGAAGCACAAGTTTCAAAAGAAAAGTTATATAATTATATTCTATGCTATACATGTGATACAATAATTACATACACATCCTACAGTATATTCATTGGACACGTATATATATAAACAAAGATCAAGGATAATGCAACTGTATGCGAATGAGCTAAGGTGGAATACTTTCCCTTCCATATAACTGTTTTTAAGAAGCATTAGCTCTGAATGCCAATATTTCCTTCTAACTCAAAAAGAAGGGCATACTTTAAAAAATATTCAGTAGAAAATGCACAAAACTTCACCATGAAAGCATCGTCGTCATACTGGCTTTTCTTCAATGCCTTCTCATCAGCCCCTCCTTTCCTAGGCCCTAAAAGGACATCCACACCCGTGACTCCAGTGCCTGGCTTTCTTGGGAGGTTTCCTCCCCCGACCCTGGTGAAGCCTGATCTTGTTTTGCAGCAGTTGCCATAGGAGCAGCCCGTGTTGCAGAGCGACTCCGTCCCTAAACAAATACATGCAAATAGCTGGGAAAGCAGACTTCAGCCTTAATACTTCAGACGCCAAGGAATGGAAACAATCTGTGTAATTTAAATAGAATAAATACCAATGGCCCCGAGGGAAGTGGGTGTTTATTTTTAAACACGGTGCACCGCGACCCGGGCTTCCTGCACCACTGACTGAGCGTCCTGAGCGGGTACCTGCGTCTGTTGCACGGCGGGTTTAAGAGCCTGAGCTGGCCAGAGGAGGTGGGGAAACAAACTCGCCCTGCTCTAGGCTTCTCTTCTAGTGTCCTGGCCGACTGCTCCTGCACCCGGTGAGCCACGGCCGCCGTTCGTAACCCGGGGCCGGGAGCTGCCGAAGGTGCTGGAGCTCGGACCCGCTTGCTCTGCGCCCGGCGCTCTGGCAGAACCCCGGGGCTGGGCGGACGGGTGGAGCCGGGCTCCGTGTCCGCGCTGATCGCCACCGCAGCACGCGGGATGTACCTGTCCTGCCCTTGCACCCTGGCAGGGCGCTGGAGAGCGCACGAGGTCTGCACTTTCCAAGGACTTGAGGGCGCACGAGGGCGCGCCAGGTCCGCAGCCCGCCTGGTTCCTTCCCAAGAGCCAGGACGACCGAGGGAGGACCCGCACCAGCTCCAAGACGGCTCTGCAAACTGGACAGCGAAGGAAAGCATCGCCTAACCTTGAAAACAACAAACAAAGAAACATGGATGAGAGCATCATAGTCCTGACTTGGTTTTGAAATACTAGTTTTCTACATTAGTATGTTATTAGTAGCCTTTTATTATTATTATGTTTAAACAGCGTTAACTTTGTTCTTAATTTGGGTTTTAGTTTTTGGGGGCAGCTTTAGGTTTGCAGAAAAACTGAGCAGAAAGTCCAGAGAGCTCCCATGCATCCTCTCTCTGCCCAACAGTTAGGCTGTTACCATCTTGCGTTAATGTAGTACATTTGTTACAATTGACAAGGCAATGTGGATACATTATTATTAATTGAATCCGTCGTATACATTAAAATTCACTCTTTGTATTGTACAGTTCTATGGATTTTGATAAATGCATAAAGTCCTATATCCATCATTACAGTTTCATACAGAACTAGCTCCATTGGGCTAAAATCCCCCTGTTCTCCACCGATTCATCCTACTCTTTCACCCCTTCCCCAGCCTCTGGCAACCACTGATCTTTTTCCTGTCTCCGTGGTTTTGCCTTTTCCAGAATGTCATATAGTTGGAATTGTATATCTGCAGCCATTGCTGACTGGCTCCTTTCGTTGAGTAATATGGCTGTAATACCCTCCACATCTTTTCATGGCTGATAGCTCATTTCTTTTTAGCACTGAGTAATATTCTGTTATCTAAATGCACCATAGTTGCTTATCCATTCACACACTGAAGGACACCTTGCTTGCTTCCAATTTGGGGTGATTCATGACTGGTCTTTTGTGTGTATCTGTAATTAAGAGATTACAAATCACAAGTAATCTTCATACAGTATTTATTAGCCAAACATGATAAGTAATGGCTTTCTGCAGTCCAACACACTGGGACTCTGGTGTTCCTTGCATGTGGCTCTAATGCCTCCCTCCTCTGCATTCTCCCCTTGCACAGATTAGGCACACAGTGAAATAGTTTTTGAAATTTAATTGTTATAAAAATGATACCCACTTTAGAACAGGTTTTCAAACATGGAATATGTCAAGTGAGAAGTAAAAACTCACTTCCACACCAGCCCTATTCTCATTCCCAAGAGGTGACTACCCTTTATCATTTGTTTTTAAGGTGGATAGGAAGTAGGATTTATTGGTGGGCATTAGGAGAGGGCAGCACAGTAGAAGCCGTCATGAGTGCAGGGCCCACCGTTTGTCCAGAGGATCAGGATTGGGGGTGTACTTGACCCCACAGCTATCTGAGATAAGCTGCTTCTCAGCCATCATGTCTTCAAATTCATCCACATTGAACTTGGTAAAGTCCCACTTCTTTGAGAAGTGGATATTCTGGTGGCCAGGGAACTTGAACTTGGCCCTGCATAGGGCCTCAGTCGCATGCTCCTTGTTCTGCAGTTTGGTGCGGATGGGCATGATGACTTGGCCACGGCACCCTGGGGCTTTCCAAAGGCACCTCGAATACCTATTTGGAGCCTGCACTGAGAGTAGTGCAAGGTCAGAGACATGAACATCCATCTGAAAGGCCTGTCTCCAAGGTCCCTTGGAGCAACCCATACAAGAAACAGGCTGCATACACTACCAAGGAAGCTGCTGTCTGCAGCTATTGCACACTGGGCCCCCATGAGGAAAGGAACTCCATTAGCTCAATTAGCTGCAGCCCTTTATCATTTTTACATGTAGCCTACTATCTGTTTCTTCTTCGTATACAACCATATGTGTATATTACCTTTTTATGGTAACAAAATATATATGCCAATTGGAATATGTGTAAATAATTTCTTTAAAAAGCATCTTGTATTTCTTTTTAAGAAAATGCGTTTGAAAATAAAATCTGATATGGTTTGGTCCTGTATCCCCTCCCAAATCTCATCTTGTAGCTCCCACAATTCCCATGCATTGTGGGAAGAACCCAGTGGAAGGTAATTGAATCTTGGGGGTGGGATCTTTCCCATGCTGTTCTCATGATAGTGAATAAGTCTCATGAGATCTGATAAAATAGGAGTTTACCTGCACAAGCTCTCTGGCCATCCATGTAAGATGTGACTTGCTCCTCCTTGCCTTTCACCATGATTGTGAGGCATCCCCAGTCATGTAGAACTGTGAGTTCTCCATTAAACCCCTTCCCTTTGTAAATTGCCCATTCTCGGGTATGTCTTTATCAGCAGTGTGAAAACAGACTAATACAGTAAACTAGTACCAGTAGAGTGGGGTGTTGCTGAAAAGATAATTGAAAATGTGAAAATGACTTTAGACCTGGGTAACAGGCAGAGGATGGGACAGTTTAGAGGGCTCAGAAGAAGACAGGAAAATGTGGGAAAGTTTAGAACTTCCTAGAGACTTGTTGAATGGTTTTGACAAAAATGCTGATAGTGATATGAACAATAAGATCCAGGCTGAGGTGGCCTCAGATGGAGGTGAGGAACTTGTTGGGAACTGGACCAAAGGTGACTTTTGTTATGTTTTAGCAAAGAGACTTGACGGCATTTTGTCTCTGCCCTAGAGATTGTGGAACTTTGAACTTGAGAATGATGATTTAGAGTATCTGGGGGAAGAAATTTCTAAGCAGCAAAGCATTCAAGAGGACACTTGGGTGTTGATAAAGGCATTTAGATTTAAAAGGGAAACACAGCATAAAAGTTGGGAAAATTTGCAGCCTGACAATGCTGCAATGCTGCAATAAGAAAAGAAAATCTTATTGTCTGAGGAGAAACTCAAGCCAGCTGCAGAAATTTGCATAAGTAATGAGGAGCCGAATGTTAATCTCCAAGACAATGGGGAAGATATATCCAGAGCATGTCAGAGGTTTTCACAGCAGCCCATTCCATCACAGCCCCAGAGGCCTAGCAGAAAAAGTGGTTTCATGTGCCAGGCCCAGGGTCCCTATGCTGTGTGCAGCCTAGGGTCTTAGTGCCTTGCGTCCCAGCCACTTCAACCATGGCTGAAAGGGGGCAATGTGGAGCTCAGGCTGTGGCTTCAGAGGGTGCAAGCCTCAAGCCTTGGCAGCTTCCATGTGGTGTTGAACCTGCCAGTGCACAGAAGTCAAGAACTGAGGTTTAGGAACCTCCTCCTAGATTTCAGAGGATGTATGAAAATGCCTGGATGCCCAGGTGGTGGGGCTCTCATGGAGAACCTCTGCTAGGGCAGTGCAGAAGGGAGATGTGGGGTCGGAGCCCCCACACAGAGTCCCTACTGGGGCACTGCCTAGTGGAGCTGTGAGAAGAGGGCCACCCTCTTCCAGACCCCAGGATGGTAGATCCACCGATAGCTTGTGCCATGTACCTCAAAAATCTGCAAACACTCAATGCCAGTCTGTGAAACAGCTGGGAGGGAGGCTGTACTCTGCTAAGCCACAGAGGCAGAGCTGCCCAAGAGCATGGGAACCCACCTCTTGCATCAGCGTGAGCTGGATGTGAGACATGGAGTCAAACGAGATCATTTTGGAGCTTTAAGATTTGACTGCCCCACTGGATTTTGGACTTGCATGGGGCCTGTAGCCACTTTGTTTTGGCCAATTTCTCCCATTTGGAATGGTGGTATTTACCCAATTCCTGTACCTCCATTATGTCTAGGAAGTAACTAGCTTGCTTTTGATTTTACAGGCTCATAGGCAGAAGGGACTTGCCTTATCTGGCTAAGACTTTGGACTGTACTTTTGAGTTAATAGTGAAATGAGTTAAGACTTCGTGGGACTGTTGGGAAGGCATGATTGGTTTTGAAATGTGAAGACATGAGTTTTGGGAGGGGCCGGGGCAGAATGATATGGTTTGGTTCTGTGTCCCCACCCAAATCTCACCTTGTAACTCCCATAATTTCCACGCGTTGTGGGAGGAACCTGACGGGAAGTAATTGAATCACGGGGCGGGGTTTTCCCAAGCTGTTCTTGTGATACTGAGTAAGTCTCACGAGAACTAATGGCTTTAAAATCAGGAGTTTGCCTGCACAAGCTCTCTTTGCATGCTGCCATGCGTGTAAAATGTGACTTGCTCCTCCATGCCTTCCACCATGATGGTGAAGCATCCCCAGTCACCTGGAACTGGAGTTCTCCATTAAACCTCTTTCCTTTGTAAATTGCCCAGGCCCAAGTATGTCTTTATCAGCAGCATGAAAATGGATCAACATAAAGTCAAATATAATATGTATTTTAAATGATCTTTTTGATATCTTCAATGAGAGAGAGAGAGACTTTTGATTCCTTTTCTCCAAAATACAACTCAGTTTCACGATTCCTAGAGCTTCACTAAATTAATAAGACGTTGGTATCACTCCTGAGCAATGGGAGAGTTGGGAAGGTGGCTTGGTTTGTCTCAACTTCAATTGCAAATTCTTAGGTCAACCATTATTTGTAATCTCTCATTCTATCTTCTTGGTAAAATCCCCCCATCCCAGGAAGCAGCTTGTCTCTTCTGTAACCAAAGTTCCACTCGGAGTTGCTCACTTTGTTTTTATAGAATAAACTCTTTTGGGGAGGGTTCCTTTACCTTTTCCCATGCACTGGTAGCGTAAAGGCTGGCTTTTTTTGAAAGCCTAGGCACTTCCCTCAGCTGTCTGTCTTAACAAGAACTTTTGCAATTCTTTGGGAAATGGGAATAGGAAATAATATAAGTTCCTAAATTCCATTAGGGTAATGATGACCATAGAAGAGGTTCAAAGCATAACCAGTGTTCATCAATTTCATATGGAAGGCCTGGTTAAAAAACAGAAACAAAAAGACACTCCTTCTTACAAACCATTGCTTTTGCGGTAATAATTTTACAAAAAAAATTTTCTTGTGGAATAAAATATTAGTGTTTTTACATTGGATCTTTAAACTACTAGGAGGATGATTTTTTTTTTCTTTTAAAAGGCATCTTGATTACTCAGTTTGGATATCACTATAGTATCAGCAGGAAAAGAATCTTTTCTTGATCAATGCTCTGTAAATGAACAAGCACACTCGCTGGTGCTTGCGTTGAGTCCACTGGCAGACTCTTTCAGAGGGGACTTTGCTGGCTCTATGTTTTGGATATGAGCAAAACCATGGCTTAGTGATAAACCCCTTTGTATATTAATAGAAAATTCCTACCTGAGAAACTCTATTTGGTTCTTGTTAGTCTGTCTCACTAGGCTTTTGAGCATTTACTAAAGACAAACAAACAACAACAACAACAACAACAACAAAACTAGAGAGAAGAGTGGAAAAAAGCCCCGTAACCAGTTAATCAGCTCTAGGAAATGGAAGCTCTCCAGGGAGTGCACAATAAGCATAAGAATGACGGGCTTCATCTGCTGCATAGGGAATGTCACTAACTCATTTATTTAAATTGTATTTAAATATGCATTGATAGGAGCTGGGGTAATCTATTTTTCCCCGAGTTATCTAACACTGTTACCAGCAAATAATCCCATTTGTTCTGTTTCCAACCTGAAAGGTGTAACATAAGAGAACAAAAGTGGGCAAAAATACCAAGATGGTCCATCTTCTATCTGTAAAATCCCTAAACCCACATGTGCTGCAAGATTTGAGCCAATGGAAGTGATGAGGTGACAGAGTAGAACAGGCATGGCATATGCCAAACCAATACATCATCACATGGTCTTCTTAGAGTCCTAAATTCCTAAAATCACGTAGATTCGAGTCAACCATTTCCCAGGGCCAAGTCCTCTATAGGTAAATTACTAAACACTATGAATGACTTGGCCAAATGCTGTGTTACCTGTTTAGGTTATGCTTTGACATAATAGTTAAACAAGCACCTAGATCACTGAACAACTTATAAATAAGTACCTGCAGGCTATTCATTGGCATAGAAGATATTCTCCAATCCTGAGATTTAGGATAACATTGAGTTTCCCCAGGATGTCCACCCACTTGGTAGAGGCTGTCTAAAGTAGCCACCTACTCAGACAGCCCAGAGCAACACCGCAATTCAACCTAACAAGCATAAGTAACTTGAAGATTTGTTGCTAGTTCTTATTTTTAAATATCTTCCGGTTCAAGAACTCTAGCACTCCTGGATTCACCCAAGGTCATATTAACAAAATCAAACTCCTCGCTTCAACAGGTCAACAGGGTGCCATAACCAAATGTGCGTTCCACTTTTTGTGTCCGTTAAGAGGACATAGACTAGTAGGTAGAGGATATTCCCAATTTTATTTTATTTTTCTACTTATGTTTTTGTTTTGTCAGGAGAGAAAATGAGTTTAAAAAAAGTTTGGTTTTGATAGCTGAACTCAAAGCTAACTAAAAAAAATTAGAAAGGAAAAAACATTTTTAAAAAGTTTGGTTTGATTTGTGGTTTTTCAAGGAGACTTTACATATCTAGTTATGGCAATATACTATTATTTGTATAAAGTTATGTTGTATTTTCTATGTGGCTATTTATTTATTCATTTGTTACTAATATTCCATTCAGCATCAAAGATGTGACACTTACTGTTCTAATTGAATTCAGGTATATTTTCTGATGATCATATTTCAATCATGTAATTGTTTTATTAAGCTATATATATGTGTGTGTATATATAGCTTAACCAATATATATGGATATATATATTTTGTTGTTGTTGTTGTTGTTGTTGTT